TCCCGGGGGCTGCTTGGCCTCGCGGGGCGGGCGGCGCCGGGCGGGGGAAGGGACGGTTGGGTTCGGGAGGGGGTGGAGGGCGCGCGCGCGCCGAGTCTCGAGCCGGTTCCGTTCTCCCCGCAGAGCGTCATGGGCCGCGTGATCAGGGGCCAGCGCAAGGGCGCCGGGTCTGTGTTCCGGGCCCACGTGAAGCACAGGAAGGGCCCCGCCAAGCTGCGGGCCATCGACTTCGCGGAGCGGCACGGCTACATCAAGGGCATCGTAAAGGTGCGTCGGGCCGGTGCCACTTCTCCATGGGCAGCCTCCCTGCCGCGGGGGCAAGCGGGGACCCGGCTTCAGAGAAAGGCAGCGTAGGGCCCGAGGCGAGCTGGGTTGCTTTAAAAGATTTAATCGCCATGCAGAGCAGCAGGCAGCAAAGTGATTCCCCTTGGCTTTAATCTTGACTTTTGTATTGGCACGTTTCTGTGTGAAGACCTCCCTTCTCCCCCTTTAATGTGTCCATTAAAACATGATTTGCACCTAGCCGTAGCCCTTCCCATAAGTCTGATTTCCAAGGCAGTTAAAGCCAAACCTGTCTAGGCACCCTTGTAATCTCAATCTGATGCATCTTTCAGGGCATTTGAAAAAAATCTAGCTCATGTGCTTTAAATTGTTCTGAATGTGATTGTTTTGTTGTCCCACACTGGTCTAGTCGTGTCTTACTGTAGGCTGGTGGAGGAATTTATATCTGACTCCTAGGTGGCTTAGGCAGTGTCTATGATAAAGCTATTTCAGCATAGATAATACAGTGATGGGAGGTTTCTAAAAGATTAATTCAGTTGACCTATCAGGGCCCTACCCAGGGCTGAAATTACTACTCTTAGGTTGACACTTCAGATGGTTGTTAGGACAGCAAGGAGTTAAAGAATGGGTGCAATAAATCTGTAAGACATATTAGAGGAAAGGAAAAGTATATCTGTACAAAAGGATAAATAAATTATAAATGAGCAATTCCAAATCATTTAAGACCTTTACATGAATAAGTTGGAAGGCCTGAAAACATGAAAGAAAAGAGTTGTGGGGAATTGCTTGTTGTCAAGTTCCTAGCTTTTCTTAAGGGTACTCAAAATAGCTTTCTAGTAGACTAGTTGAAAATGTACACAAGTATTTTATTAAATAGTTAGAGCTGCATGGTTAATTTTGGAGGATCTGTGGTGATTTAAGGGCACCAGGTGTGATTATCATGAAGTAAAATATCTGATCAGTTACAACTAGGTTTGAGCTGGTCACCTTGCAGAAGTGAACTTGATCTCTAGTGAGGCATTATCTAGACTGGAGATTGAGTGGCACAGCTTTTGTTATTCACAGGGGCTCAAGTACCCCCTCCCCCTAACCACAAAGTGTTGCTAAAAATGTTTAGTGTAGATATCCCTATAGAGCTGTGGTTACCAACTGGTTGATCATGATCGACTAGTTGATAGTGAGGGCTCGACCAGTCGATTGTGAGGTGTTCAGGGACCCCCCCCCCCACTTCCTCCCACCCGAGAAGCCCCACTACCTACCTCCAGCGAAAATGGAGGTAGTGCAGGCTTCCTGCGGGATGGACAGATGGAAGTCCTCCAGCTGCGTGCCGGTTCTGGAAGTGTGCTGGCTGCTCCCCTCCCTCAGATCTGCGGTGTGCTGGAACTTGCGGGGAGGGAGGTCCCCAGAGGCAGCATGTGCTGGGGTTGGTTTCCCTCCTGCTGGAAGGAGAGTTGACCTTGGAGGAGGCACACATGGGGGCTTCCCTCCCCGGGATGGGGGAGGGTAAGGAGAAGAGGGAGAGGGGGAAGTGTCCTGGGAGGAGGCTGCCCCCACTGGCACCCTGTCCCCTGCGAGTGTGAGTGGTTTTGTGTGTTGTGTGGGTTTTTTTTATTTTTTTTTGCATCTCTTGTGTGGCCCCAACTGACTTTTCTGTGGGTCAGTGACCCCCTGACTCAAAACAGATTCCCTGCCCCTTTCATAAATAGACAAAGCAGAAACTTTGTGTTTGACATAGTATTTTACAACTGGTCCCCGAGTTGGGAACGGTTGACTTATGACCGTTCACAGTTACAACAGTAAATGGCAGCGAAACTTTGTGTTTGACATAGTATTTTACAACTGGTCCCCGAGTTGGGAACGGTTGACTTATGACCGTTCACAGTTACAACAGTAAATGGCAGCCCCCGAGTTACAAATGCAATCCGCACTTACAAACAGCGCGGTCATGTGTAACTCTATGGGGTCCGATTTACAACAAACCAAGTTACAACCAATTGCTTGGTCTGTAACCGGTTTGTAAGCTGGAGAGAGGCTGTATTTAAAAATGAAGCCTGGCCAGCAAACCCCTAATTGGAGCCAGGCCCCCATCTGGCCGCAGCATTATCACATGCCTGCACGTCCCCGTCCCCCCCAGACCTGAGCCTATCATACACTGGAACCCCCTGCCCTGAGCCCCTCACATACCCCAACCCAAATTCCTGCACCCTCACAGCCACAAGCCTGTGGCTTGCTTAGTACTGCAACTCTCCATCTGACCCCAAAACTTCCCAGCCTGAAGCCCTCTTCCCAAGCCAGAGTTCCCTTCTCCACCTCCTCCTGGATCCAAATTTCCTCCAAGAGCTTGCACCTGTCACCCCTTCCCACACCCAAATCCCTCATTCCTACCCCAGAGCCCACACATCCTGTCTCAACCCAGTGAGGGGAGGTTATGGCTAGATTGCAGGAGTTTTTCCAGGATTCGAGAGATCCTGGAAAAACTCTTCCGTTTCCAGGGATGTATTTATTCTGCTTTTTTTTAGTGGAAGAGCAAATATCCTCTTTCGGTAACCCCTATGCTGGAAAAACTCTTCCGTTTCCAGGGATGTATTTATTCTGCTTTTTTTTAGTGGAAGAGCAAATATCCTCTTTCGGTAACCCCTATGCTCTTTGTTCCACAAGGAATAAGGGGGCTTCCAAAAGAAGGGGGGGAGTGGCAGTGTAGAGTGTATAAGGGCTGGGGATAGCAAGTGATGGAGAGGAGGAGAACAGAGAAGGCAGGGCTTCAAAGAAGGGGTGGAGTCTTGGGGGAAGGATGGAGCAGTAGATCTTTGCTTGTTCTAAGATTTAAAAGGTGATCTTGGATGTAAAAAGGGTGGAGACCACTGCCTTAGAGAGTGAGGGTTGAGTGGAAGACTGAAAAACTTGCTAGAAATGTATGTATTTATCACTAATCTAGATGACTGTCTAAACATGCTCTTTTATCACATCAGGATATTATTCATGATCCTGGCCGAGGTGCTCCCCTTGCCAAAGTTGCATTTCGTGATCCATACAGGTTTAAGAAAAGAACAGAGTTGTTCATAGCAGCTGAAGGTATTCACACTGGCCAGTTTGTTTACTGCGGTAAGAAAGGTAAGTTAAGACTGCAACTAGTTATGTTTAAGTGGCTTCTAGAGACTAGTAGTTTAGACCAGTGGTTCAGCCAGGGATACAGTGAGGTTCTGCAAGGGGTACATGTACTCATTTAGATCAGGGTTGGGAAGCTTTCATTGCTTGGGGGCCACTGGCCCACAGGAAAAAAAAATCAGAGGTTCCAGCCTTGTAGGAGTGTGGTGAGGCTCAGTTTTCAGCCCATGGTGTGGAAGAAATTAAGGTGGTGATTATAAGTACAATACTTACATTCTGGGTTGTTTTTTTTAGTAATATGTTAAAAATGAGAATAAGTGGTTTTTCAGGACTAGTGCTGTTATATACTTGAAGTTCTGTCTGAGCAAAGTGAGTTATAACTTGGGGGTTCAGACTCCTGAAAAGGGGTTTGATCATTTGGAAAGGTTGAGAATCACTGGTTTAGACTCATGGTGCAATGTGACCTGTATGTTTGTTTGCTTTCCTGAGAACATTACTGCATGTACTTATTACTTTCAGAGAATGTTTAAAACCCTGATCTTCATTAGCTATTTACAAACTGTTTTTACATGTATTAGTCAACAAATTCTGCATCTTGAAACTAATTACATTTATAATGTAACTTATAGTAAGCTAATGTCTTTTTTTATCCTAGCCTTTGATAAACTTGTCTGTAGAATCCCTCACATTTGACCAAGTAGCCTTAAAGTCACTGTTGTTGAAAGTGTGTTTGAGAGGGAGGGGGATTGTACCCAGATAGCACCATGTAGGTTCCCATACAAATGCTTCTAGTAATGTTAGTAATATGGAGGTTCTAATTTAAAATATTCTGTATTTCTTGAGTCTGTATATTTATTGTGCCTGAAGATGGCTAGGATATTTCTGAACTTTTGAAGATAGAATATTTGAACCATTACTGCAATCTTAGGACATGGACCTCCAAAGAACTAAATGGATTTGTTTTTTTTCCAGCTCAGCTTAACATTGGTAATGTCCTGCCTGTTGGCACTATGCCAGAAGGCACCATTGTCTGTTGCCTTGAAGAAAAGCCTGGTGATCGTGGTAAATTGGCCCGTGCTTCTGGAAACTATGCCACAGTTATCTCCCATAATCCTGAAACCAAGAAAACCAGAGTGAAGCTGCCTTCTGGTTCCAAGAAAGTAATCTCTTCTGCAAACAGAGCTGTTGTTGGTAAGTCACAGCTGTCATTTTGTGTATTGTATCTTGATGTCTATACTGTAGTGAAAGGTGTGATTGTAAGTAGGCTGCGTGCTTGATAACTGAAACTGCTGAACTAAGTTGGGGTGTGTTGTATGGGCTTCGTTTTCAAAGATGCAGAGCTCGAAAGATCTAACTGTACATGCTTGGACACCCTATGGTGTTATATAAGTGTACTTGTGAAAAAATTCCATGGGTATAGGAGAGCTTAATGTGCAACTTTAATGTGGGTCTTAATGGACAAGTTTTGTATTATCAAAGTCTTGGACCCCCTTAGTCATGAACTAGAACCTTACCATGCTGAGCATTATACAAAGAACAAAAAGGCAGCCTCAGGCCCCAAAGAACTTAATGACAAAGTACATGGGATAACATGTTAAGAGTTAGTGAGAATTGTATTGAATTTAAGAAGTTTTAATGCTGGATGTAGGCTTAGCCATAGAGTTCAAAAATAGACACTCATAGCTTGTGTAGAGCTGATCAGTTTCTGTAGTGCTACCCTAGCTT